GCCTGGCCAGGATGAGACGGTACGAGTGGTGGCACTAGATCGCAGTTTCCACATTCAATGCTACAAATGCGAGGATTGTGGATTGATATTATCATCCGATCAAGAAGGACGGGGTTGCTACCCTCTGGACGATCACGTCTTGTGCAAAAGTTGCAACGCTACCCGCGTCCAAGCCTTAACGTCTCACATGACGACCGAATTATAAATTATAGCTCACACAATTCGAACTGGTGAAATTCAAATAGTATGAAAGAAACGAATCAAGTATCATTGTGATTAACTGTATAGCGATATAAGTACTGTTATATACACAGTGATTATGAATTCTCTTTTTTACGGTTTCTCCATTCCATTGTTACTATTCACATCTTGTATTTGAAATCAATATCTGCTATTCTATTGTATGAAGAGAGGTGAGAAATCATTTTCTTTACATTTTAGCTAATTAGCAAACTAAGAAAATTATATTCTGTCCATATTTGGATCTTTTTTACAATTTGAAATGAAAGACACGAGATATCAGACTTTATATTCTCTATATACTAATCTTTAATGCTTATAAAGTAGACTAGGGCGCTAAATTTCTCACGATCACTGCCATAACGGAGCATTTGCAATACGTTACAGAATAACGAATTAGAAATAGATATAAGTTCGACGTCTGAAATAATTTTCCTGCAGATGTGATTATTATTGTGATTCTAGTAAAGTATTTGATGTATCGTAAAGTATTTAACATGTAGTAGTTCGTCGACAACAGAAGAAAGAGAGAATACCGCTTCGATCCATTTATTTAGAGATAAATCTTTAGATTCAGGACGTATTATTCAGGATTATTATTGACAATATATCAGTGAGAGAAAACGTGCCATTCTCTTCTGTTTGTAATGTAATTTGTTGTAACAATTTTTTGCACTATCTAAAAGGAAAGACAAACGCTCAAACTAAAACTTGACTTGAGGCGATGCAGTTATAGTTCTCGAATTTCTTTCATGGGTAAAATATTACATTGAGAAGAGACTTGTATGATCTCTGTATTATAGTATCAATAAAAATACAGTTTGTTATTTATGGCCAAAGAGTAACATTTCGTTTCTACCGACCATTTTTGTCCATCTGATGACTTCATTACGCATGCAAATACGTAGACTGTATCTTTAGCTTGCATTTATTGAGTGACAATCAGTCTATGATCACGAGTTTTGCACCTTTCACTATATTCCAATGAGAATTGCTATTAATATATTGTTATGTTACTATTATGATTGTTATGTTAATAGTTATGCGCGATGGTTCAAGCTAGTTCCTTTTGGTTACAGATTTTCTGAGGAACTCGCGGTTTTTTCTTAGCAAAAAGTCGATTGTGTAAACTCAATTTTTTTTTGCTTTACTATCTATTTTTCATTTAATATTCGGTATTATCTATCTTTGTTTTATTTTGTTAGAAATGCTCAAAATTATATAAGTGAGATAAGAGTGTTTGTCATAAATAAATTTTATTTTCCTGAAACTTCAAATTAAACCCTTTTTTATTTCAGGAACTATTGGAATATTTTTGCTACAGAAAAGTAAATTCGAAATTCATAAGAGAAACTGTAACCAAAACGAAATCCGCGATTATACAACCTGTAGATATATGGTGTGTGTGCATATATAAATATACACACGTACACACACCAGATGTATGTATGTACACATTAAATATTATTATTATTATATAATTGGAGAAGAAATTTACAGCAGATTCATTTTATATCACTCTTACTAATTCTTTTCTCTATGATTTTCATGCAGAGATGTTTGTCTTTTATTATTATTATTATTTTTATCATTGTTATTAATATCTCTTTTTAGATACTCGCATCTGTTTTTTCTGTAACATATTTTTTTATTACCATAGAGTACTTAAGTGTTATATAATTTTTGTAATGTGTATGTGTGTATGTGTGTATGTATGATATGTATGTGTGTATATATATATATATATATACACACACATACATACACATACACACATATAACCTGTATGCCATTTTTTTGTGTATAATTTATGTTTATTAATACATAAATTTGTCTCGCTGACACATATGGATCGTGGAACGCATCCTTTTATGTTTTTTCTAATGGCGAACATATATTACCGATTCTACTTATCTACACGGAGGTATATCAAATTATAATTTCCACGATGGATACATTGTACATTACAATGTATGCGGCAACAATGGCGAATCTAAGAAATAATTTGGCATTACTTTATCTATCAAGTAAATAATAAGCATTTTGAGATTATGTCATAAATAAACGTAACACTCGTTATCCAATGTATCCAGTGTGCAAATAATCTTGTCGTTAACTCGCGGGAAACGTCTCATTTTAATAATACCTTGCACTAAGTTGCGGTAAATTTAATTATGGAGTAATACAATTCTGGAAAATAATAGATTATTACAATTTGTCGCGAAATTCTCGCGTATTTTTCAATTGACACCTACCACACACTGATCTCGCAGATGCACAGCGAGCTAGGACAAGATTTCACGATCCGAAATGCACCGTTTGCTGCGTATGATACATAGATCCTATACTTTTTTTTTACTACACATAGCTCTGGTGTCTATCTTAGACTCCTCTGTTTTCTTTTCTCTTCTTTAGATTAAAACTATAATATATTTTGTGTAATATATATTTTATCGTATTTCTCCAATCAAGTACAACAGCACCATTCTACGTTAAATTTAGTACAAGATTTTTTAATACTCGTTTTTAATATAACAATATTCGTTCGATTTGTTAGCTTTGTTGTACCAAAATCAACATAGAATTGCACTTTTTTTAGTTAATCTATCGCTCTTTCTTTTTCTCTCTCTTAAATAGTACACATTTTATATATATGTATATAATATATATATATAT